TTGTTGCATAACGTTAGTCACCTCAGCAGCAAACTTCTTACCTGTTTGCTGTTGGGATCTTAGCGATGACTCCCAAAGCAATTGCAACACAATAGCAAATATGACGCAAAAAACAAAAAATAGTAAATCTATATGTGTGTGTGTGTGTGTGTGTGTGTGTGTGTGTGTGTGTGTGTGTGTGTGTGTGTGTGTGTGTATATACATACACAATTTTCTATTAGCCAGGTCTTAGCCTTTGGAGGTTACACATCGCGCACAAGTCGGCACGCTCACTTCATGCCGTATTTACTGTTTTTCACTTTTTTTTTCTTATAAATATGCCCTACTATTGTTTTTCATTCAAATATTTACCGTAATGACAGTAACAGTCTGCATGTTTGTTTCAATACTGTGTGTGTGTGTGTGTGTGTGTGTATATACATACACAATTTTCTATTAGCCAGGTCTTAGCCTTTGGAGGTTACACATCGCGCACAAGTCGGCACGCTCACTTCATGCCGTATTTACTGTTTTTCACTTTTTTTTTCTTATAAATATGCCCTACTATTGTTTTTCATTCAAATATTTACCGTAATGACAGTAACAGTCTGCATGTTTGTTTCAATACAGGGCACGTAGCAACTTTCCAGACTGTTTTCATTTTTTTTAAGTATGATATCTATTTTTTTCCCATGACTTGCGTTCCATTCCCTCTCCTCTTGTCGAGTTAGAAGTAAACCACAATCGCCGCTTCATTCTTTGCATGACAACTGAGCGCGAACGACCAGCAGACAACCGCCACCATCGCTGCTCTACTTCTTTTCCCTCCAGCGTGCATTTGTTTGTATATGCGATCCACAAATATTCCCTGAACAAAAACACAAGGTCAGACCGGAGGGGCTCCCACACAGAGCTCGCTTGCGCTATAAAAGTGGAGGGCTTCAGAGTGGTTTACTTTTCTTCCAGCCGTGTTTTTCCCCGGTGCTGCGAGTGAGTGGGGAAACATCATTCAAGTGAAATGCAGCTCTGTCAAAACAAGCGCGTCTTATAGCTTTTCCCACACTCTCATTCCAATCGGGAACATCTTCATACGTCATATTCAATTTTTTTTGACAGCGGGGAGAACCTCTTCATTGTGCGAACTGGGATTTTGAACACCCCAACTGTTAACTAGCATGTAGCAAGTACTAATTTCTGCCATTATTTACATCGTCATTAAAAAATGATTGGCCAGGAGTTTGTTTGTTTCATTCTTCCATTTTTGTTTGTCAGTTTATCCTCTCCCTGGACACCTCGTGAGGTCGTTCATTTATGTCGCGGATAAGCTATCGAAGTTTGCTCGGCAGTGTTGCCCTTTCAATCAACGTGTAATTGGATCAACGTGGAGACTGAGATTAGATAACGGTGTCATATCTGTCTCGAACAATGACATCCGCGGTATCGGACTGAGGAGGGGGGAAGAAAAAAAGCTCAAGATTGAGGCAGCTCTGGTTCGCCGTGGTCATTAAACGGTACTCGTAGCATCGACATGCAAATCTAACTAATTCCA